TCTTCCCCGCGGCGGGCTACATTGCTATGGCCATCGAAGCCATCTACCAGAAGACATATGCAACAGGGCAGATCCCCGAGGGGACGTCCATCTCCGAACTCCCTTTCAAACTGCGCAACGTGACATTCCCCCGAATGCTCACACTGGACACAAAAAGCGGTACCAAGATCCTATTGTCGTTGCAACCGTGCTCCAGCACTAAGGAGTCATGGCACGAGTTCACGGTCAGCACTATCACGAAGGATGGCTCGATTGAAGAACACTGCCGAGGCCTTGTGGGCGTTGCTAACCAAAATCTTCCTCGACCACTTGCCAATGCGTCAGATATTGCACCCCTGCAACACCCGGTCTCAGGCGCCGTATGGTACAAGGCCATGCGTCGGGTTGGCTACCACTTCGGCCCTGCCTTCCAGCCCTGCCAGCAAGTCGAGGCGAAGGCGGACTCGCGTCAGTGCCGGGCGTTGGTACGACTGCAAGCCCCCGAATCCCGCTATCCACAGAGCCAATATGCAATGCACCCCGCCGCAATCGACGGCTGCTTACAGATTGCTACTGTCGCCCTTAACCGTGGTCATCATTCTGCCATCAACACCCTCATGCCTCCTGCGCTCATCGATGATCTCGTGATATTCCCGCACACAGTTGCCTCTGGCGATGAAGCGATTGTAGCCTCGGAGGCCGTATGGAGTGGTGTTGGGCGTCCAGATGACAATAAACGTTATGTCAGTGACATCAGAACGATCGCTCAGGGAAGCAACGAGCTCGTCTTCCACCTCGAGGGACTGCGATATCACGCGATAAATGCCAGTGTTGACCGGCCTCATGCGTTCACGGAGGTCGTTTGGAACCCAGACATTGACTTCCTCACCTCCACCCAGATGGCGCATATACTACAGCGAACGGTGCCATCACCCAACGGCAATGGCGAGAACGATGGAGATGCCGCCGCGGCAGCCTTGACGCAGATGACCAAGCTACTGTCACTGATAGCCCACAAACGCCCATCGGCCAAAGTGCTGGAGGTGGCGGCACGCGACGGCCCAGCAGCTGGCGAGTCCCTGTACCTCGACCATATCCGCTCCAAGCTGGGTCCTATTGTCCAGGGATGTAGCTATCGCTATTTGGCGCCGTCCCAGAAAGCCGGGCTGGTGGCCCATGAGAAGTACGCGGCAGAACCGCGTGTTGCTGTGCAGGTGGTGGATGCGGATCATGGGCTTTTTGACGAGACCGATGGGAAGTACGACTTTATTATCTTGAAGGTCGACGAAGGGGCGCATGAAGTTGAGCAGATTATTCGGCAGGCACGAGATATCGTGACAGTGAATGGATATTTGGTTGTGGTGAGGGTAGTAGGGCTCCCATTTCTGAATGGTATGTATTTTTCACAATGGCCTAGAAGGTATATGGCAGTCGAAGAAAGCTGACTAGGGGTACTACCAGGTGACTCTTCCAACTCGACTGGTCTCGACACTGTTAATATTATCCAGACCTCCAGGGGTGGCATCCTCAATCTGCTCTATGTTGGCAGACTGAGGGAGAAAGACCTAGAGACGGACTTTCACAACAGAGACAGTACAAAGGTGCACCTGCTTCATTTTGGTGGTCCAGTGCCATCCACAAACGCGGTTCAAGATGTTCTTGAAAAGAAGGGATGGACCGTATTGCAGCACAATCTACCATTTGAGGAAGTCCTCCCGGACAGCACAGTCGTGCTGATAGAAGAGATGGAACACCCAATTCTCTCCGCCTTATCAGATGAGCAGTTCACCGCGCTACGAGGTCTGCTAGAGAAGCAGTGCCGTGTGGTGTGGGTCACTAGGGGGTAAGTCGCGATACCCGGTTGACAACGCTTCTTCTATACAGTTTCTCACAGCATATAGGTCTCAGATGCAAGTCACCCATCCAGAGCAAGGCCTCATGTTTGGGGCTGCACGTTCACTTCGGGCAGAATACTCTTCCAACCTGCTCTTGTGTCTGGATGTCGAATCTCCGACCAGTTCCGGCAGCTTGGAAGCGATTGACACGGCTCTTCGCCATATCACATCCGTCGCTAGCCTCCAGGACGCTGATAGCGAATTCGTGGAGCGCGATGGGATGTACCATGTCAGTAGAGTGGTCGCAGATGCCGTGCTCAATCAAGCCCAGAAGGAAAGTGAAGACGGAGAAGCGGGAGGGGGACTACCTATTCGCGAGGACATCATCCACAATCACAAATCCCTCATTCGATTGGTCAGTGAAAGACCTGGTACATTGGATACACTTATATACAAGGAGATCCCTGATCTGCCGAAGCTCGCAGACGACGAGGTCGAGGTCGAGGTCCACGCCGCAGGGATGAATTTCAAGGACCTGGCCAACGCGATGGGTTTCGTGCCGGCCAATGAGCACTTGTTTGGTTTAGAGTGTACTGGAATCGTCACAGCCATTGGGGACGCTGTGTCTACTGTCAAACCCGGAGACCGAGTGCTCATGGTCCGACGAGACGGAGGCTGTTTTGCCAACAGGGTGAGAAATCGCTGGCATGCTGTTCACCCGTTGCCCGAATGGATCTCATTCGAAGCCGGTACAACCCTTGGGATTGCAGTGCACACAGCAGTCTACGGCCTCGTCACGTTGGCCAACCTTCAAAAGGGACAGTCTGTCCTGATCCATTCAGCATCGGGCGGAGTCGGCCTGGCTGCCATCGAGCTCTGTCACTATCTCGGGGCAGAGATCTTCGTAACAGTCGGCACGGATGCGAAACGAGACTTTTTAGCTGAGCGTTACGGAGTGCGGCGAGACCGCATGTTCTCCTCTCGCAGCACGGCCTTCGCAAAAGAACTGATGCGGGCGACCAATGGCCGAGGGGTCGATGTCTGTCTCAACTCCCTGACCGGAGACATGCTGCACGAGAGCTGGAGATGTATCGCCGAGAACGGCACTCTCGTTGAAATTGGAAAGAAGGACATGCTCGATCGAAACAGCCTCTCTATGGAGCCCTTTGACCGTAATTGCTCCTACCGTGCCCTGGATCTCTCGCGAAAGAGCATCAGTGATGAGACCACCTATCAAACAGGAGTCTACATCATGGACCTCGTGAGACAACGCCATCTTAAGCCACTGTACATCGGTGCGACGTTCCCCTTTACCGAGACTGTGGACGCATTCAGGTACATGCAGCGAGGAAAACACATTGGCAAAGTAGTTCTCTCCTTCGAGCAGAGCAAGTCCGTACCCCTACCCTTCCGGCCAGCAGGACCTCTCTTCCGCCTACGCCCAGACGGCTCATACCTCATAGCCGGTGGACTCAAGGGTCTTTGTGGAAGCATTGCGGTCTATCTGGCACGGCATGGAGCGAAGAATCTGGTGGTCATCTGTCGCAGTGGGTACGAGGACTCGCGATCGCAGAAGATCATCTACGACTGCCAGTGCCTGGGATGCCATGTCGATCAGGTAACAGGTGATATCACATCCCTTGAGGACGTCCGCCGTGCCTTTACCACCGCCTCGTTGCCCGTCATTGGCGTGATTCAAGGCGCCATGGTCCTCCGCGACAGCATGTTTTCAAACATGACGCCGGACGAGTTCCGACAACCCATCACACCCAAGGTTGCCGGAACCTGGAACCTGCACCACGCGTCGCTCGAGCTATCGACCTCATTAGATTTCTTTACCCTCCTCTCCAGCGTGAGTGGTCTAGTAGGACAGCTTGGACAAGCCAACTATGCCGCGGGCAACGCCTTCCTCGACTCCTTCGCCGCGTACCGCCTGCAGCAGGGCCTTCCAGCCTGCTCAATCAATCTCGGTCCCATCGACGATGTCGGATACCTCGCCAACGACGAGCAGGGTACAATGCTCAATCGTGTTTTCGAAAATCGCGGCTGGACCCCCATCCACGAGGCCCTGCTGCATCAAATCCTGCGCATCAGTATCCTCCAGCAGACGCACCGTCTCAACCCATCCCACACCGGACAACTCGTCACAGCGATTGTGCCCGGCGAGACTCCCTTCGAGCCCGTTCACCGGTTCAGCGCCCTGGCAGGCCATAATGCAGCCAAGTCCGCCGGCGGCGTCGACGCCGAATCAAAATCCAAGCTGGCGCTCCTGAAGAAGGCCTCATCGGGCGACACTGACCATGCCATTTTACTCGCTGCCGCCGTGGGGCTCGTGAATCCTGTCCTCATGCGCAGTTTGGGTGCCGGGGAGCCATTGGACCCGACACGACCGCTGAGTAACTACGGCGTTGACTCGCTGGTCGCAGTGGAGTTGAGAAACTGGGTCCGTCAGCAGTTGGAAATTGAGGTTAGCGCGCTTGAGATCGTGGGTGCTAGGACTCTGACGGCGTTGTGTGAGACGCTTCTAGGCAAGTTGGTGCGGTAGACTTGATGCCTTTGCGGTATCCTTCTTACCATGCTTGTTTTTTAGTCGGGTAGTCCTAGATTCCATATCTTTGCGCTATATACATGTCCCTTACATTGGCGACAGCCACAGAATACTGAATGATATTCTATAACCCAGTAATATGGTATTACAAAGTCCTGAGTATAATCATAAGTTCCAATCACATAGAGAAATTGGATCTTTTAGCGGCGAACACATGACTTACATTCATTACCATGTGGAACCGCGAGAGGGCAACCTCACCCTGAACCTCATACCATGATTTAGACAGCCAGTTACCATTGGCCATCCACCCGATTATTGCGCTAGCCAGATCATAAGGCTCATTATGGCTACCTTCGTGTCAGTCGACCTGTAAGCTGTCCAGAAACAGCTTGGAAGGCACAACTACTTTGTATAGTTATCCATGACCCGGTCTTTGCTCATGCCGTTCCCTGCCGCCTACCTCAAAAAGTCAAGGCCTTTTTCAAACACTGGCAGATAGCCTACCGCTTACTACTTCGATCTAGTAACTTCGAACCTCCTTACCAAAAAGGCGGTAGCATTCCTGCCCACACTATATGCAAGCCTTACCATAAGAGGTAAGCGGCAGAGCGAAACGCCTGGTGGTGGATGCTGTGGCAGTAGCGCCTCACCATGATATAATATTGTTAAACAACTCTGTTTAACTCTCTATTGAAGTGTATACTCCACCCATTGGACCCCTACAGGAGAATACTACTTCAGTCTGTCAGGCATTTTCTGTGAATATCCGTCAATTAACCAAACCTGTGAGATGATGTCAAGCGGGAAGAGGGAAAGAGGGAGGATCAGCCGCAGCATCACTACTTACTTAGTACTCAACTGCACATTCCAACTGGTCAGATGAAGACCAGCCTCAATCCGTCTGCTATTTAGTAACATATGGATCGGAACTCGGCTCTACAAATAGATCACCAAAGCCTGTTTCCATCGCAGTCCATGTGGTTGAATCTCCCCCACAATTTGCTAATCTGCTGACAAATCCATTGAGAATATCCCCATTAACCAGCTAACTATACAATTACATCCATCTTCACAATTCATCTTCCCCTACATCTCCTCCAATACAAGATAATACAGAGCAGAGTCAATATACAAAATGACCAACTTCAACATCCAAATCATCTCCGACACCGTCTGCCCGGTACCTCCCCTAATCCCAAAACCTCTCATCACTCCCCGGCCCATCCCACTATACCAACATCTACTAACATAATACCAAACAGTGGTGCTACGTCGGCTACCGCCGCCTCACGCGCGCCATCACAACCCACAAAGCCACCTACCCTTCCGATACATTCACCCTAACCTGGCACGCCTTCTACCTGAACCCGAACTCGCCGAGTTTCCCCGGTCTAGACAAGACGGAATACTACAAGTCGAAGTTCGGCGCCGACCGCGCGCTTGCCATCTTCGATCGACTGGGTGCTGTGGGCCAGAGCGAAGGGATCAAGTTTAGTTTTGGCGGGAGGACGGGGAATACGCGCGACTCGCATCGGTTGATGTGGTATGCGGGGCAGAAGGAGAAGAAGGATGCTTTAGAGAAGAAAGAAGGGGTTGTGATTGGGGGATTGCAGACGAGGGTGGCGGAGGAGTTGTTCCGGGCGTATTTTGAAGAGGAGAAGAATGTGACGGAGCGGGAGGTGTTGGTGCAGGCGGGGGTGGGGGCTGGGTTGGAGAGGAGTGAGGTTGAGAGGTTGTTGGATGGGGAGGAGGGAGGGAAGGAGGTTGATTTGGAGGCTGAGAAGGCGAGAAGGCAGTTGGTGACGGGCGTGCCGTATTATATGGTTCAGGGACAGTATGCTGTAGAGGGGGCGGATGAGCCGGAAACCTTTTTGGAGGTGTTTGAGCAGGTCAAGAGGAGTACTTAGAAGGGGGGTGGGGGCTACGATGTTAGATGGGTATATAAGGCAATCTACAGGTTCTGTTGATCCCATGCAAATTACATTGCTCTATGGAGGCAGCAAATATGTAACACAAGCAGAGAGAAGTGTAACGTAGTGGAGTCTAGTCATATAAGACAGCCCATCCTTTTGCCCATTAAGTCCTCCGATAATTCACAACCATAAGTCTTTGCAGTGGGGAGGAGAATTTGCAACCCCAGAGAAGATCCCCAAACGCCCGAGTTGACAAATGCGAGCAAGTAATACCCCCGGATGAATTCAGAAAGAGGAGACAAGGCAACCCTTCCGGCGCCGGAGTAAGCAAATGCGCGCTAAAGCCAAGACCCAGTGAATACGCAACTGGACGTCTCCCGGGATAATACACGTATGCGAAAGGGAATGGGGGGAAGCAACAGCTGGCAACCAGTCCAGCATAAGGCTCCATAACACCGAGTAAAAGCAGAAGAGAAAAGCAAAGTTGAAGAAATGAAGAAAGAAACGTCGTCAAGAGTCATTGCTCGTAGAAGGCATCTGTAAGGTGAGCAGAGATGTCACTGATTTCGCTAGACCAGCCATGATGTCGTGGCACGGTGCCAGAAAGTAGCAAAGTCTAGTACTGGGAAGTCTGCTGCAACTTAAAGTCGGGAATATAGTCGAACCAGTCCGTATCGGTATTGTAACGGTACGCCTTGAATTCAACACCGTACGGCTTAGGCTCCAACATGTAAAGCATCCCCAGAGGCACATCCAGAGAAGCAACCTCATCGCGCTTCAGGCCACGGAAGTACGCCAGCAGGACGCGGGCGACCGACCGGTGAGTGACCAGCAGCACATGGTCGGTCGTCCGCTCCACCTCAATGATCACGGCGCGAAGCCGGTTGATCACATCCAGATACCCTTCGCCTCCAGGGCCGGGATAGCGGTAGTAGAGCTTGTCCTTCCGACGCGCTGCGTACTCCTGAGGGAACTTTTCGCGGATTTCATCGTAAGTCATCCCTTCCATCTGGCCAGCATAGAGCTCATCAAGCATCTTCATTTGCTTGACATCATACTCATCTTCATTGAAGTAGTCGACGGTTTGCACGGAACGTTGCATCATTGACGACCAAACACAGAAGTTGCGAGGCCGGTCGCGGGGAATGTACGATGGGTTGGGGGGAGTGCTATCGCCAGCACGAGGGGGCAACCGCTGCAACATTTCCTTCTGTCTCTGAACCAACTCCCACTGCTGCTTCTGATGGTCGATGAAACGGTTCAGCGCCTTTGCATAGCGATGGCCATTCTCACTCAATTCAGAGTCACCACCAATGCGGCCCAGCTGGTTGTCCTTGCTTTCACCGTGTCTGGTAATCCAGATTTGACGCGGGGAGAGGTTAAAGTTGAGCAAATAATAGACAACCTGCGACGAGAGGAAGCCATGGGTCTGATGAGAGACGATCTTGCGTCCAACATCAATCATCTGAATGTACGCCATGCTGTGCTTCTCTTCGTACTCGCCGAGAGGAACATAGGACTTCTCATAGAGCGCCACACGTCGTTTGAAGTCTTCGAGGGCCTTGACAGGGTCCTGATCTTTGTAATCGGGACCCGACAGCTTCAGACGCATGTTGGCTTCTAGCAGTTCCGCGTCCACGCAGCTGCTTTCAAGGAACAAGATGTTGAGCTCGGGACCAGCACGGTTGCGGATATGATCGACAATGGCCTTGCGGCGCTCCATGGTGCTGTTGGTGGCGTCAAGAATGCCGACACTGCCGCCCTCATCGAGAATGTAATCCAGAAGTTCATCCAACGTGTCCAAGGCCACCTGCTCTCGCAGCTTCACGGCCAGCTGATTCTTAGGGTCGAAGAAATTGGCTGACTGGTCGATGGGCTCGGGAGATGCCTCGCGTATGGCATCCTGTTCGGCCGGGGACGCATTCATCGGTGGGACGATAGTGCTCTCGGAAGGATCTTCCTCCTTTCCGTTGACCAGAATCTTGGTAGGGACAGCAGGAGGCGGGAGGCTGCCATCGAAAGGCGGGACGTTGCCTTCAACTTCAGGAGGCGAGGTCACAGCGACCTCCGCGGCATTCGCAGCTGCTTCGGCCCTAAGGTCACTCTTCTTCGACGGCTGATTCATGGTGCCAACGCTGACACTGAGCCGACGCACGGAATCAACGAGCTCGCTATGAATGGTACTGGCTCTGTGACTCGGACGTCTTCCATCGGTAGCTGGAGACTTTCCGGCGGCCACACGACGACGTTCTCCTACGTTGAAGATCTCGGTATCGTGCTGCAGCCAGTTAAGGTAACGGGCCAGCTTCTTGGTGACATAACTCTTTCCCCGAGCAGGGAGGCCGACCATGACAATAACCAACTTTGAGCCCACATCACGTTGAGCAATACGTCCATCGGGAGAGACCTTCGACTTGGTGAGACCTGGGATATCGAGGGTAGTGGCACGAATTCGACCCGGGGTCGACGGAGTAGTATTGGCAGTACTAATGTGGATAGCTGGTTAGCTTGCAACGCCACAAACTCTGTTCCTGAGTGTGTCCAGAAACAGCTGCGACAAATAAGGAGACGACTCCGGGGAGATAGACACATGGCCCAATCCCAGAACCAAGATAAGAGGATGAACTCGGAGAAAAGGAAGTATGAAGCAAACGCGCGGGGAAGACCGGGTCATCAGCCGGGCCAATATAACCCGTATTGACAGCCGTCGATCATTCCGGGGGAATACATAATAAACTAAAATATTAAAAAAGGAAAAAAGGGCTTTCACGATCTAGAATTCGAAAGCAAAACGCCCCGAAACAGATCTAGACAGCAGACGAAAAAGAAACGGACCAACAGGAGCAAGGAAAAGGCGGGAGAACATACAAAGGTGGAGACGAGGGTGCGGTAGAAATCGGAGTGTCTGTTAGGGCAAACCCGACACCATCCTTGGGCACCTGCGATCCCCTGTGGGAATCGGAATGCAGTTCGTTGCCTAGCGCTCGTCCGACCAGTGATTTGGGGGGAGGCATAAGATTAGCGTCTTTCCCAGTTCCCGAGTGAGAAACGGATCCATTTGGTTTTCCTGGAGCACCGGCACGTTGGTGATCGGGAGCCGACGCGCACGTCATGATGGCGGATCGTGCAATATCGGTGTGTTGAGACATCCCCGCGAGTGGCGCAGGGATGCAGCCGAGATGCAAAGATGAATCGATAGGTGAACAACAGAATAAGAGAGAGAGCCAATGAGAGGATGACAACAGTGAGAATCACCTCCGATCTAATGCTGGCAGCGACCTCAGAACCGGGTCAACCACAGTCTTTACTCACGGAGGCGATGATGATGATCGAGGGGTAGGAACTGTTAGTTATTTGGAGAAGGATGGAGAAAAAAGAGTGAGGGGGAAGATGCTGTGTTGGTCGTCGCGCTGTGAGGCGGGCGGGATGAGTCAAATCCGCGCTCCCAACCAAACGTCACTTGAAATTCACTTGTTCGGCACACAACTCGTCACTTTGCTCGCTCTTTCCGTGAATGCAAGTCCACTTCTTTCTGAAGAGAGAGAGACCCTACAGTCGCGGTCGTGAATTTTATACCACCACGCGGTAGCAACTGCACGACCGCGTCTTCTTGAGTTAGATAGACGCTGGCAGAATCCCGCAGAACGGGGCTAAGTTCACAGCACGCAACGCTCTTCCAGGGCGGCGGAACCATGCAATGCAAAGCTCCTTATTCCGGCTCTTCCGAAGGCAAAACTGCAGGGCGCAGTTGAAACTAATGGGTGAAGTTATAGGCCAGGGTTTTGTGCACGAGGTGGTAAAGGCTAATTCGGTTGGATGATTCTTATCATCTGGGTTGACGGAGGGTCTTTGGAGGTCAAAGAGATTCCAACTGCGACCGGGCATATAAGAGGGTCACGTCCGTTGCTGATGAAGTCACTCCCGCCCACTCGTTCATGACAAACGGTGGAGCTTTTCCGCGGATTGATCAACATCCATGGCCACCCCATGATGTCAAATCATATCCACTATTTTGCTACTTCTTACAATGTGCATTCATGTACCAAAGTACATATTTAGAAAGTAAAACTACTATGGTCCACCCGGTTTCAACGATGTATCTAGTCTACTGCAGCTGTAGAATGTCCAACCAGGTCCGCTAGTCATCCTGCACTGTCGATCTTAGAGCTAAAAGCAAATAAAACAACCCTTAAAGTGAATCCTTTGAATTCCGCACTAAGTTTGTGGATAGATAGTACTGATAGTCACCGAGAAAATCTAGGAGAAAATCTAGAATGCTTGGCCTAGGTAAGGGTGTCAGATGTCTTATTCCCAGCAAGGCGAGTCAACAATCCTTCCAAGTTTCATCTACATTGTCCTGCACTGTACAGATCCGATCACCTCCGTTGCAGCTTACCCAGTCTTGCTAGTTTCGGCCTCGTATTTTCTCCGCATATATCGAGTTGTTATGTTCGATCAATTCAGAATTTACAACCTAATCATTTCAGTCCAGATGCGAGCAAAAGTAGTGGACGGAGATATCGACCGACTCGACATTTTATTCCCCAGAATGTAGTTCGATCTATTTCACAATCTGGCCATGGATCGTGGTCCAACTCCAAGCCGGATGTCTGCAGGACATGCATTTCCCTGTCCCGATTCAGCTAAATGAAGCGACGGCCATCAGCATCCGCTAGGCATCCGAACAAAGAGCTGTTGCTCTTCGCTTTTTACACTGCAACCGGATATTTCTATAATAGGTTGAGTTACAGTAGTGCTACGTTTCATTCCCTTCGCTTCAAGTTTAGCTAGTACTAAGCACTCTTTGTTCTGAATAAATAGGGTCAAAACATGATGAGTTTTCTCTTCTATTGCAGGCCGAAACGTAGTATACGCATTGGCTATACCTTCAGCCACTATCTTGTATATATGCTTAATACCACGTTGACTTGTAAGCTGCTATATTTAGATTCCATATGTCGTATTTATACTTTCCATATGCCAGTGATGATTTGCCAACCAAGTGTCCGAAGCAAACCTGTCTATTGCTCAGAGTATCTCTTATCTTATGCAATGGAACCCATGGAACTTTAAATTTCCCCAACTGCAAGAGGAGAACCAGCTATATTTCGTACCAATGAGTCTGATACTCGACTGTAGACCTCATGCAAGACACAAGTTTTGAAGTCACCAAACTTGATATTAAGTCCTTCTGACAGAAACATGCCCCCCATAGCCTGTCCCATATTCTGATTGGATATTTCTTGTACTCCTGTCTCATCTCTGATTGGAAGTCACTCCAGACACTCTTCTTCGATGATTATACTTCTCGCAGGAGAATAACAATCGTTCTCCTGTGACTCCATGGCGCTTCTGCCATCTGGCACAAAACATAATGCCGATGGTAGTGTGACTTATTAGTTGCTTTGTTAGATGTAAGAATTAGGGTACCAGTAAACCACCCGGTATCTCGTGGTTGATTGCGGTAGACTCTTCATTGGACATCTGCATGACGATTCTTTTAATCAGATAGATTCTGCCCAATCTGATGATCAGGTCCTTCAACCTGTGACCACATGTTGATCTCCTTCAACCTCCAAAGTAATATATACTTATATATTACAGCACTGAGTTGGTTGCATACCATTGCCACTTGACATGTTCTATAAGCAATCAAGATGATTTGGATGTTCTGCAATTACCAGACTAGCATCTTCCAAGACGCTTTGGCTTGAACCAATAAGGACAAGAGTAATTGGGCCAAACTCTCGCAATGTCTCTAAAAGCCAAGGGACATTCTGAACCCCTCACTATATGAAGAGACATCGTCTCCATTCCAGGACATACCAGTTGCATACAAAGTGCCGAAGAAAATCTCAGTCTTTTGATACCCGGCCATCGCGATGCAGAGGCCCTTGATATCGAAAGGACATCCCTTGGTAATTATGAGCTTTGGTAGTTGTATTATACGGACTATTTACTCGCTGCAGAGCACTGACAGCTTGCGGTCCGTGTCGGCTCTCCAGCATCTGAGGATTAGTGTGATGGAGGGCTGTTATGAATCGCTCTATTTAGTAAGAGGTAATCGCCACTGGTGACTGGATAATGTTCTAAAATAAAGTCCAGAATTTCTTCTTTTCGCCAACAGATCTTCTGGCATCTCCGCGATATTATGCCCTTAAGGGTGTTGTGCAGCCCGTAATGGCGTGCCATATGTATTGTGCTAACACGCCAGTGCAATTATTGCTCTGACACTGCTGTATGGCTTCAGTTCTGCATCTAGGCGACTGTGCATAATATATATGAGTGCTATTTGTCGTTTCTGCAGATCGTTCATATTCTTCGTTGGTCTCTCTTTCCAGTTGTAGGCCCAGCCTATGCACCTGGCGCGTCAAGGTCTTTCGTAGAGATCCATTGATTATATTTGAGACCACAACCTTCCAACTGATAGGGTACTCATTGTGCAGTGGACCTCGTCTTTTCCTGGTGTTGCGGAAAGTCAATAGAAGTATATAGGTCATGTAGATGAGCAAGACATCTGTAACAGTCAAGGATCTCGTTTGCTCAGCAATAACAGACCCTGCTGGCTAGCTCTTTAAGGCATATGACATTGCCATCCACTATATCTATTCGACTTGGCTACTAAGTTGCCACGTATTCAAGATGATGGGAGTTTAATGAAGAGAAGAGTTCGATACGGAGGATACTGCAGTTCATATATTGGAGGGCTACGTAGGAGCTGGTGAAGTCGGGAAGGGGTCGTGAATAGAAGTATGAATATGAGCCTGAGTAATTGAATACCAAGAGAGACAAATTAACCATACAAGAAGGTAATGTACAGAAAGTATTCCCTTCGGGACATGTTGCAAGGAGAACTGCAGATCAATCCAACGATTTGACACGCCGTCCTGAGCACGCTTCGGACCGTCACGTATAGTCAGTAGCGCCACCATAGTTTGTAGTGGACTAGACCGGTAATCATCTCCCATAGCAGCGACATAGAGGACCGTGTAACGAGTTAAGCGCATCGCAGGCAATGGTTCGAGCATAGACAACATGATGATCCTAGACAGTGAGGCTGCCAGTTTGGGTGGCTGGAAGCGGTAATGCTCCATCTCGTCATGAACCGCAGGTCCCACATACCCGAGCAGGAAATGTCTTACTCGTGTTGCAAGCTTATCCCTGTCGGGCCACCCCTCAACTTTGCACTGAAACGTCGATATGGCTTGATGCTGGTGGAAGTCGGCTTGGCACACCCGCGTGCCACGTCTCTCGACTGCACTTGGAGCAGGAAACGAGAAGCCTGGGATGAGCCCGTCGCATTCTGCATGTACTTGGCAGGTACGCAGTGAGGTTGTAGACATACTGCCTAAGTGTCTTGGCGAGGCGTGACCGCCTATTTGTCCAGCCTCACGGTCAGCGCGATAAGGGTCGCGTAGGCGGCAATGCTAAGGGCCGTCAACACCACCACGGCATTTCCACTAGTTCTGAACTTGTGACGAATGCCATCCTCTCCTATCTCGGAAAAGAATTGCCGGTTTCCTTGTTGACGACGGAAGAGTCCGATGATAAGCACGCCCGTGCCGTAGATGGCGAAAAGCGCTCCAGTGCTATAGAATTCGCTGGTGAAGATCTTCAACACCACCAGGGCGAAAGAGAACTGGGATAAAGCTGTACGGATGTAGGCGCCTTCGAAAGTCCGCTGTGCTGCTCGAACTTCAACAATCTCATCCGAAGTTAGCGCGACTGTGCGGGCACGGTGCATCCGCAGCCGGTAACGGTCCGCGGCGCGACGCTGGAGCCAGTCAGTACAGAGACACCATTATAGATGCAAATCTCATTGTAGGAAGAATAAGCCGCGTGGTAATCGCCAGTCAGCCAACGCACCTCAAACATCACGACGTGTCATGTAATATCTGAGTGGTACGACTCGAGTTCTCCGATCGACGGGATACTGGAGTGAAGGGGCGACTGTTTGGCTCCTCGTTTGGTGATGAGAAGCGAACTGGTGGTGACTTCCGATTTGGCTGAAGTTAGGCCCCCAGAAATATGCCGCCTCGAAAGTCGACAAGTCGACATGAAAAATTCAAGATGGACGTTGGGCTAGTCGAAGGATGATGAGGGGATTAAGCTAAGCAAACTGGTCTTTCACGTGGTCTAGCTGCACTGGAAGAGGAATAGCACGCGACCATGGCACCTGATGGCTCAATTTGGCGTTAAGCTGCATCGTCTGCTGTAGCCCATAGCCTTTTCGCTACGTGGAGGACTTGCTTTCCTGGATCAATTGCAGAGTTGCAAATGAGTTACTCAGAACAAAGAGATGAAGCTCAAGAGCATACTAAGATAAGTACATTTCCGAAAGAAAACTGGAGACAGGCATGAGCCATGACATCAAGGGCCCCCGGATTGTCCACCAATGGCCGATCGTCTTTCTCTAAGCAGTCCCCGTCGGCGACCGACATTTCCCAAAACAGGCGGCATTCAATCGCCGCCCCCAACTTTGTCTCCTCGTCGGAGTTCAGGCCGAGCCGTAAATGGGGGTGGGTTTAACCGGGTTAGTTGAATGCGAGGAGACATTTCGAGGCCACCGCTCCGAACACTTCATCTCCTACCGTCTTTTCTCTCTTGACTCTCCTTCACTTCTCCTCATTTCTCTTCCCTCTCGCGGGTCGCATTCGACAATTGTAACAAGACCAATTGCTACGACCCAAACGTCTCTTTGATTAGCAAGATGAGCAAGGTATTTGACGCGGCGGAAGGTTTGTATACCCCGGAATTCCCCATGCAGCGTACAATTGTCATCCCAAGATAGAGTCACAGTCTTGAAACTAACTGAAGACCCTCAGTCGCAAAACACAACACTCCAGAGAGCTGCTGGGTAATACTCTACGGAAAAGTTTACGATGTATGTTCACCCAATCACATATCTTTTTGTGTCTTAACCGAAACTAAACATTCCAACTCAATCAGGTCACCGACTTTCTCTCAGAGCACCCTGGTGGTGCCAAAATAATTCTTAAGCTTGCAGGAAAGGATGCCACAGAGGAATACGATCCTATCCACCCTCCAGGTATTCTGGAGGAGAATCTGAAGCCCGAAGCATTCTTGGGAACGGTGAATGCCGACACGCTGCCGAAAGTACAAGCGGAGCCGGCCTCAGATGCGGGGGAGAAGGAAGGCCCGCCTCCGATGGAGAGTCTACTTAACATGGACGATTTCGAGCAAGTGGCCACCAGAAATGTCAGCAAGAAGGCATGGGCCTACTACTACTCAGCATCTGACGACAAAATCACGAAACATTTCAATACTGAGGTTTACCGATCCATCTTACTGCGACCACGGGTATTCATCGACTGCACGCGATGTGACCTGGATACTACAGCTCTGGGCAACAAGATCGGCATGCCCATCTACGTCTCCCCTGCAGCCATGGCTCGTTTGGGCCACCCAGCAGGTGAAGCTGGCATTGCGGAGGCCTGTCGCAGCTTCGGGGCCATGCAGATCATTTCCAACAACGCTTCCATGACCCCAGAGCAGATCGTTCAGGACGCCGCACCAGACCAAGTATTTGGATGGCAATTGTATGTCCAAACAGACCGGAAGAAGAGCGAGGCCATGCTGGCACGCATAAACAAGCTCAAGGCAATCAAGTTCATTGTTCTCACTCTGGACGCGCCTGTGCCTGGAAAGAGAGAGGACGATGAGCGCGGCAACACCGTGGGCGCATCAGCACCAGTTCCGAGCGCCACAAAGGCCGCAGACAAGTCTTCAGGAGAGATCAACAACGGAGGGGGAGGTGTCGGACGTCAGCTTTTCGCGGGCACGGATCCAACCCTCACATGGAAGGAGACTCTGCCGTGGTTGGCTAAGCAAACCGATCTACCCATTGTCCTCAAGGGTCTTCAGACTCACGAGGATGCTTACATTGCATCCCTTCACACTCCTCAGGTTAAAGGCATCATCCTTTCCAACCATGGCGGACGTGCTCTCGACACGGCTCCTCCAGCTGTGCACACATTACTCGAAATCCGGAAATATTGCCCGGAGGTCTTCGATAAGTTGGAAGTATGGATTGACGGCGGTATCCGCCGTGGCACAGACGTTGTCAAGGCACTCTGTCTGGGCGCTAGGGGCGTCGGTATTGGACGCCCTGCGCTGTGGGGCTTAGGAGCCGGTGGTGTTGAGGGTGTCAAGCGCACTCTGCAGAGTACGTATATGATCCGATATTCAAATAGGACATCTGCTGACTAGGATCTTTAGTTCTGTCCGACGAGACCAAGACATGCATGCGGTTACTTGGTGTTGAGCGTGTGGAGGATCTAGGACCCCAACATGTAAGTGTCACTTCTCCTTATTCTCTTTTCATCGCTAACCGACTATGCGACAGATCAATACCCGCATTGTAGAACAGCAAATCTACGATGGACCGTCAGGGCTGTCAGGTATCCGGAGCACATACCGTGCCAAACTATGAACTGAGCTACGTCTGGAATGCGAGTATATATACTAGCATCTCTGTTCTTTGTAGATTGCGCACAGAAATAGACACGGCGGTAGCCGATACTTGCAAGCCTGACTTGATCGTCCGTAGAATGCATATACCGTCTACTGCAAAGAGACTCGTAAGAGTGATAGCTCGGTAAATGATGAAACATGAAGCTATCTAATGACTATCAACAAATATGGTAAGCTTTTTAAATGTTTCATATGTTTTGATGATAAAGCAATGATAGTGGCCAGTATTGATACATTCAAGAATATCCAGTGGCCCAAAAATGATGTTGTAGTCCGTAAACAGTAAGCATCGAAGTGACAAATGAAGCAATCCGATCAGTAACCAGAAACAGAGAGATGTTGAATTCACCTAAACCACATCAAAACAAAATCGCTAGAAACATGAGGCCAAGAAACGAAGGGGGTTGTGATCTTATAGAGCCGAAACATATGTTCTCTTGTCAGTACTAAAGACTCTAAGACCAGGGGATCAGCATTCTTTCTGTAAAACAGTCGAAGCAAATATGAAGAACCCTTACCAGCAAAATCAGTAGTCGAAGAAGAGCCATCACACATATGACTTGAGCGCCTCAACCACCTTATTCCTGTATTCACCAACTCCCCATCTCAAGATGGCGTAAATATTTCTCAGAATCTTATAACAAGCCTTTTCACCTGTTGCATGCCATGACTTTACATGTGCAGAACAGTACTCGATCTTGTCCGTGCTGTTCCCCGGAACCATTTTCCGATAATGAACCCAGAGTTGGAACGTTGCGCCCTCCGAAACCAGTGAGAATACCGGAAGATTGGTGATATCAAAGCCCTTCTTGGGCTTCGCGCTTTTCATATCATCACGCCTATTGTCAGAGAGCATCTGAAGCATCCAGAGTGCACCAGCAGCACCAACTGCAGCTCGATTCTGGGCCTGATGCAGGTTATCTCCGTTAAAGTCGGCCCGGACTTCCACGATGAAGAATGGGAAGCGCAGATACTGCGGCTTCGCGTATGGATCACTGATCACTCCATCCTTTTCTTTCAACTTGTTCCAGAATCCTTTCGCAGCTGTATCGTCCGGGTCTTTGTATAGGATCTCTCGTAGGTGAGACTCGCTCAGCCCAACACAAATGTCAGGTCGAGATCGGTGTTCTAGACTCTGTATGGGCTTTGGCATTATGTCTCTATGCAACTCTTTCTGGGATGTCAGATCTGGTGCTAAAGATATCCAAAATTTTGGGGAAATTTGTCTCACATACCTTTATCTTCAACAGTCCTGAACGCTACCCTATTCTCTAGGTTCATGTGAAGAATGGCATTATGTATGAGCCCTACCCACTCATGTTTCATGTTGTTTCTGCGGCTGAGCTCAGCTATTTTTGCCATAAACGCTTCCACTACTTTGCTCTGCTCAACCATTCGGAGCTTCTTGCTACCCAAGACTGTGCTATATGCATATTCTTTGATATCACCCGGTGGCTCAACGTCGACTATAATGCCGGACGGTTCGAGGTCGTCATAGCGCTCGAGGCGTTGATGGAGCTTGAAGGAGACGTTACTGGACAACGAATCTACTGGGCTCACGGGCTGGGTCTGGAGCGAAATGGTTGGTTGAGGGACAACCTCCTCGGACTGGTCAGGTGCCTCAGGAGCTGTCTCCATGACCTTGCGACGTTTGGATGACGAGGGTTTAGATTTGGACTGGTTTCTCTTCTTCTTAGATGGAGCCATGGCTTGTAGGTGGTCAGTGAGGTGGTCAGTGTCTAATGATGAGATGCTAGGAGGAAGCAAAAGTGCGATCACTGGGGTTGAGGTGCAGAAAGGCCCGCCGTTTGACCCTATTGCCCAATAAGGTAGGGTGCGCCTATTCTTAGAAAAGAGAAATTTGTCACTGAATCAACCGGCAATATGCACGGTTTTTCGGTCAAGTCTCCTTTGAAGCTTGGCTTATGGTGCAAGGGTGGGGCCAGTTGGGTGAATTGTATCTCACCCTGCTACCTTATGTCACAGCTGATTAGATACATGGAGAACAGAGTTTAGAGTCTGAACGATCTACCGATCTCGAAATAATGACTTCCATACTCCTTGGAACCAGCTCCTATCCTTTTCCCAGGCCTTGGTGACGATATCTCTACCCAGACGAACAGCATCTTCAACTTGCTGCGAGGTACCCCAGCCAGGAATCAAGGGTGCCCAGGCAATGAAATGGACGCCAACGTGGATCAATACCCGAAAGGCCATTTCATCATCCAGGTTCTGGTATCCCTTCACAAAGCCTTGGATAATCCACGTCGCGGCATCGATGTCCTTGAAATGCTTCAGCAGGTAGAGCTCAGCGAACATCTGGCCCAGATCGAGGGCACGAGCACCGCAGTGGCAAAGTTCCCAGTCGATGATGAATAAAGGAAGGTGATTAGGTTGCTGGAGGGCCGTTTTGGGGATGAGGACACTATGTTGCATCAGCTTGCTTGTTCTTCGTTCTATCAAGGCAGGGAAGGCACGGACTTTCCCGACCAAAAGTCTCCATGGATTATTCCGAACCCACTTCCGTCCTTGTGCCTCAACTCTGCAGCCGCCATTTCCCGAACCTTGCTGAACACATCCCGGGAGTCTCCCAGTATAGTCGGGTATTTATCAATCGTGTTCACGAGTGCATCATAGTTGACCATGAACTTCAAGTCTCGCATATACTGGTTCTTGTCCATCTCGGCCGCCACCCCTAATTGGGCCTCGTTATCAGCCCAGTGATGGAATGATTGTAGCCAGTTCCCTAGTGCTCGACCTATAGAAAATGCCCATTCTTGAGTCGGGTTGTTGGAAGCAGCTGTAGAGATTAGGAAGGACTTGAGGTCCAGAGAATCGGGAAGATCTTCTAGAACAGCAGTGTTGGTTTCGCGATTGAAGGAGAAGAGACGAGGTGTTTTAACTGTCACTTTCTGAGATTGCGCATCAGAATTGTTGCTTCTGTTCTGTTTGCTAGGCAACCCATCGAGGGCCTTCAAGATGGATTCCTCGAAAAGCTAAATGCCATATGTTAACACGATGTTTGTAGTATGTTTGACTTCACACAAGGGATACCTACACAGCGTTCAGCTGGGAGTTTGAATTCCCGATTAAGGGCAATAAATGCCTCCGTATGCTTCACTATAACGGATTTTGTTCCATCTGGGAGTGGTTGATCGAGCTGAGCCCGATAGACAAAGTTGGCGGTTCCCCCGCTTAGTGGGGTCAGAGAGGATGAGGCATATCGAGTCCCGGCGAGTTCTTGGGAAACAGTATTGAGGAGGTCTTTGTCAGACATGTTGCTTTTATTTGCATAAGATTCAAGCTCGGATTTGCCTTCAATTGAGTATATTTTAAAGTCATTGAGTTTTATAGCTCGCTAATAGTTATTCGGTGAAAGAGGGTTGTTCTGCTGAGTCATGATGTCGGGGTCCCATTTGGGATACGATGTTGCATCGTCTGAATTCTTGAATCTAAAACTCCCCACCATCTAGGACCACGGCCAATTTCCTTCCCATGAGGGCATTTACCCCTTAATAAGAGCAACTGGTAATGGAACAAGTCGCTTCTATGCAGTCGCACATTGGCTTGCCCATTATGTGGGATGAGCTATCGCCACTACCTCTGGTTCAAATGTGCAGGGGATCAACAATAACCACCCAGGTATACTGCATCGAAACGTTACTAATGGACTCGGAGCTATACATGATCTGGGTGTGAAACCTGGCCAGACAGCATACAGATCATCATTGTTAATTGAAGATAGGTTAAATCTTCAATGGAGCAATTTCTGACACTAAACCTTACCATACTCCACCTCTACCATGCGTGCTTCTGCCTACTAGAGTTGTGGGATACACTTACAGATGACAACCTTATCATCAACTGGCTACGAGCCACATATATGAATTGGACAGTGGGCGAAATATGACAATCATTATCTACATGCTATGACCTGAAGGAAAACCTGTTCATACGTACAGACGAAACCTGGCTACAGGACGTTAATTGAAAGCTTAAGATGCCATCATCTGCGCGTAAGTTTAATTGAGAGTTTCTACGATAAACTATTCTCGGGTTTGATATGCCCCACGGCGATATATAGTATATTTTTCCAAGCAACCATCCCTTCACAACGCTCGGCACCAAGCTTCGACATACAAAATGACCGCCAGAACTCATACTCCGTCGTTCCAGCCGTATACTCTCACACCTCTAGACCACCTGCTCACTCCTCATCATGTGTTCGCTTATATGTCTTTCCGGCCTGAACAGAAGTCTGAAGCAATTGATGCGATAGAATCCGGCCTATCGAACTTGGTATCTCAGTGGCCATTATTAGCTGGCAATGTTGCGAGGGTGCAGAAGGAGAACAGAAGAAACGTCACAGAGTTGCAGCCGCCGACAACATCGGACCTCCTCCAATGCCCCCTGCTACGTGTCGAACACCATCAACACACCATTTCAGATGCTTTATCCACGCCAGTCATCGATTATGAAATGGTAAACATTCCGAAGACACTCTCGAGTTCCAATCCCATACCTGCTGTGCGGTTCCAGGCCAATGTCATGCAAGACGGACTCATTTTATGCCTCGCCTGGCATCATCAGGTAATGGATTCGCTGGGTGTCACCATAGTCTTGCACGCCCTGGCTCGATCTTGCTCTGGATCGAATCGAAAGAGCACCAATGCCAGACGTCTTCCGATGGACCTCGATAAAGAAGAGCAGGCAAGGAGGAGGATAAACCAAGCCGCCACCACCAGCAACCCCGACCTCAAGGATGCATACTGTGAGTCTAGCTATGAGGAAATACGTGGACGCCAGCCCAACTCAATCATCTGTCGTCGTTATACTATGCATACAGACAGAGTCAACTACCTCAAAAATTCGTGCAACGATCTTGCCCATGAGCTTGCCAAGGGCCATTCAACATCACAGGAAGCCTCACCAACTGGAAGCCAGTACAAACTAGAAAACATCTCAAATGACGATCTGGTAACTGCTCTAGCATGGCTCTCTATATCCCGCGCTCGTCGTCGAGTTGCTTCCAAGCATTCGTCAGACTTACCGCGCGTATCCTCTTTATCCAGAAACATAGAGGTTCGCTCACTACTCCAGCCTCCTCTTCCAAGAAGCTACCTGGGAAATAGCCTCGTGTTAGCGAAAACCCAGTGCGAGTGGAACGATATCCCTACCCCACAGGAAGCCTTTCCCATAACCCGAAAGCGGATGGACAAAGAAACAATCAACGCATTGCTTAAACTAGCCCTGATGTCTCGAGCTAAATGCAAGTCCATTCAAGACGAGCAGATCCGTGGCCTTATAGGCCGTGTGGAAGAGTGCGATGACTTCTCGTCAGTTTCTGGTGCCCCTGCCGAGGTCATAATGTCCAGCTTGCGGAAAACTGACATCTATGCCTCGGACTGGGGTAAGAAACTGGGGCCACTGTTGGACTTTGATACCATTGACGGTCGGACTGATGGGTTGACTCTGATACTACCTGACAGGAATCCCGCTAAGAGGGGAGAGAGCAATTGGGAAGTCCGCGTGAACCTACCAGTGGAAGTTATGGAGGAGTTTGGGAAAGATGAGCTGTTACTTTGGGTCACGGAGGCAGAGAAGCCAGGAGCCAGGCTATAGTCTTACAATTTGGCAAGTATATGTTTGCAGATGTATGCTTCCTTGGTCGACAACATGTAGCATCTTCTGATTTTATGATTGAGATCATTCGAGGTAAAGTAGGTCAGTGATCCACCTTGTTGTTCAACCGAAGGAAGGAAAGTCACAGAATTCTAGAATATAGTGCTAACAAGAGCTGTCTATCTCAGGTAGCTGTTTGATTGTGTTCTGTATTATTGCAATTCCGAGGAAAGTACGTTTCAACAATCATTCAAGGTGAAAAAGTCCTAATCAACAGGAATAAAATAGCCGCTATACTATACAACACTGAGAACAATATATCCACTATCCACCGAGAAGAGACAAAAAGTTCCCGCCCTCGATCTAGTTTACATTTAAGACGAAGTCTGAACAGCAAAAGTACCATTCAACTTCAGATCACGCGAGCTTGCACCCACGTAGACCTTGTAGTCACCCGAGGCAACCAGCCACTGCTGGGCACGGACATCCCAGTAGGAGATATCACGGCGGCGCAGCTTGAAGGTAACCTCGCTCTGCTTGCCAGCAGCGATTTCGACGCGCTCGAAGCCACGGAGCTGGCGAACGGGTTGCTGTGCAGCAGTGGGGAATCCGAGGTAGAGTTGGGGGACTTCGGCGCCGTCGAGCGAGCCGGTGTTGGCGACCTTAACGGAGACGCTTCCCACAATATCCCAGAGGTCGCTGTGTCCTCCGACGGTCTGTTCGCCGGTGGGGTACTTGGATAGTGTGGAGGGCTTTTCGATGCTCAGGTCGGAGTAGGAGAAGGTGGTGTAGGAGAGACCGTGACCGAAGGGGTATCTGGGGGTGACGTTGTAGGCGTCGAAGTAGCGGTAGTCGAGGTAGACGCCTATGAAGGTTATATGTGTGAGTAAGTGCGAGGATGTGGGGAAGAATTATATGTTGAGCTGCTTACCTTCGGTGAAGTTACACTGCGCTGTGTAGCAGAGCTTGACGTTGTAGTCGCTCTCGTTCTTGGCGATGGTGTGGATGAGACGGCCAGAGGGATTCACGTCTCCGTAGAGGACATCGACGATGGAGTTACCAGACTCCTGGCCCAAGAGGGATCCGTAGAGAACTGCAGTAACGTTGTCATGTTCAATCCACTGGTCCATCAGGCGCGGGCCGACGGTGTTGATGATGACGATGGTGTTGTTGCAGTTATCGGCGACGGTGTTGACCATGGTGTCTTGGTCGTCATTGTAGAGCTCAGTGCGATCAGCGCCTTCT